GTTCAGGGTCTCACTAGACTGGAAGTAGTGATCCACCTGTTTACAGCCTCCCAAGAGCTGGGATTACAGGCATATGCCACCACGCCCAGTCTCAATTGCTGCCTCAATGTGCCCTAGGGGTGGGGCTGGCATGGCTGGCATAGCAGGCCTCGGGGATTGAACCCCCAGCCCCTGCACCTGCTTGCAGTTTCTTTAATCCTCTGAGCTATTTGGCCGGCCCTTTGATTGATAATTAGACATTCAGTACAGTAAGTTACCAGTACTGGCCCCTGGCACACAAATGCTCTGTGATGTCAGTTAGGCAAGAAAACCCTAAACATTTTCTTTCTTTTCTCTTTTCTCAAAGATAAAACTGAGCAATGAATAGGCCAAATTACTGTAAGCCTGTGTAAGGGTTGTCCCTTGGGGTCCTGTTCCCTCCTTCCGGTCCTCACACCAATGCCGTTCCTGGGGGTCTGCTGTTACTTCATGTAGCCCTTTCTTCTTCACTGGCTGGTTGTGGTACTTCCTGATTCAAAGTACAATAATTCAGTAACTCCTTGGGCTATTCTGGTGTTTTCCACTACTTATGTCCTTCCCAAAAAGTGGTGCCCTAGCTTTCTTCAGCTCAAGAGAAAAAATTCTTTCTATGGCAGTCATTTACAGCATGTTTTCCTCTTTCATTTTTCCTGATCTTTACCTATGCCACACCAATGATCTGAACCTTGGGTCCATGCCTTCTGTCTCATGAACCACCATAACATCTCTGTCAGCTCCTCACTTTAGCATTTGCTGAACATAAGAGCCACATACTAGGGAAAGCCTACTGTGTAATTGGACTCTACCTTGCGATACAAGGACCATCATAATTTCCAGAAGCGTGTGTCTTAATTTCCAAAGGAGAAAAAGTATTTTTAATTATCTACTTCTCAGCTTTTTGCACAATTGTTCTAAGACCTTCAGGCCTGTTTTCATTTTTCTCAATGTGTTTCAATTACATTCCACGTTTAACTTGCATTCTGTAGTTAAAAGTCACTACTGGTCTATGACTTCATTATTTATTTCTCTTAGTTTCTAGGGACAATAGTTTTCTTTCTTTCTTCTTCTTCTCCTTCATTTTTGGCTGCCCTTCCTTGTTGCATTCAGTCACATATTTTACAAAACTTAACAGCATAAAGAAATTTGAGCAGAAAATTTTCTTTCATCCTCTGGACAAGTATTCTTAGATGTTTACTTCATTTATGTTTTCAGTTATATTCTTTTTTTCTGCTTTTGATATACAATTATTTCATATTTATGAGATTTTTTTTTCCAGGATCATTCACACTCACACTTACATCATTTATCAGGGCTTCCCAGTGGCTCAAAGCAATATTCTGGGTAGGAGTGTAGCTAAGTGATAGTGTGTCTGCCCACCATGTTCAAGACCCTGGATGCTAAATAAATAAAGCTATACAGATTCTCCTTGATGGTCCCCCATGTTAACCTGGGCATGTTCTGACTTATCCCATAAACACTTAGAGGCTTATGCCGACAACATGAATTCTCTGTGTCTCTCTTCATTCCAGGGCAGGAGCCTGATGGTGTGGAGGGAATGGAGTTTGGGAATACTTGGTCAAGGGCCTGGGAGTTCTGTCTCTCTATTTCTTTCCAAATTGGTTGAGACTGTGTACCTGGGACACCACCAACTAATTAGAAAGCTCAAATTGTTCTATGTAGGGAAAGGCCTCTGATCTCAGAACATTCCCTTAACTCAGGGTGAATGAGCCAGTTAGGTGAAAAATGAGATTAAGTTCATGGTCTTCTGGTTGCATAGCTCGATGGTTGTGGGACCACACACTGATTTCTGGTCTACATCTATGAAGCTGGCCCACCTCTGGACCCCATGCCCTATTGTCAGGAAATTATCAGAGGCAAAAGAAGGCAAAGTGGACTAAAAGTAGGTTCTGGAGCTTACCTGCTACCTCTGGTGAGGTGGCAGAAGAAGTCTACATAACTTTCTCTCCTTCTACTTAGATGTCCCTGAGTTAGATGCAGGCTTCTACTGCAGCCTGGGTAAGACTCCAAGCTTAGATTCTAACACCAAGGCAATACTATGTTTCAGACTGAGACCCTGCTCCAAGCAGGAGACTGGCAAGTGTGGGCTTGGTCCTAATTGCATATGGCAGTTGATGCTGTGAAGTTAGTTTGAAATTAGAGTTTTTCATTGGTATGGGTGGTTCTATTTTAAGACTTTCCCATATGTTTTGCCTGCCATCTGTTTAAGAAAGGGACAAACTGAAAACTCACTGGTTTGCCTAGAAAAATCCTCTGAGAGCCAAGTTTACAGCATTAGTTTCTTTAAGTAAGTCATTTATGCCTTGCTAACATCTTGAACAAATTCAAATACCTGATCACCTGGCCTATGTAATATTCAAGAAGACAAACATTTATACACTTCATATTTTGTCCTGAATGTCATTAAAATGAGATGGGTAAAGCATACTGGGTTCACAATGACTATCAAAGAAAAGCTCTTTGTGTTAGAAATTTTCATCTTAAGAATTTCAAAGTTAACAGATGTAAGCAAAAATCTATCAAATTTCAACAGTGAATGACAGTAGCTCTTTAGACACACAAGAAAAGGACAAGCAGCCTTCTGGAAGCCAGTGTGTTGGTGGGAAGAGGGGTAAAAACATCTAAATGAAGCAAGTTCCTCTTCTCCCAACAAGCAAATTCATCAAGTTATGCAGGATTACAAATCACAACAAAATCCTGTAGAAGGAGGATCTCTCCTTCAGGCCTAAATAGGGGCGACAGGTATATGAGGGAGGAGATTCTCCCAGAAAGCTAAATCTGGTTCACTTCATTAGTTCTTCTGTCCTTTCAGGCAAGAAGAAGAAGCTAGTTGCCACTCAGCAACCATCTGCCACGGAAAGCTCAAGTCAGACAGGAAGTGACATATGGAAACTCAATTGTTTGGAGATATGATTTCTGACTTCCAGGACAATGGATGAGAAGTAAGCAGTAACACATCAGTTTCCACAGCGTTTGGAATACACACTGGAAAAGAACAACTTGGGAAAGAAAGGGAGAGACGTAGATCCCTGGGAGCCTAGAAGGACCTGCGGGAGAAACTGGAGCCTGTGGGGAACCACTCAGACTGCTCAGGGGCATCTAAGGACACCTGAGGACATGACCCCACTTGTCTAGCACAGGTGCACAGTGGGGTAGTTATGTAACCATGACTTAGCACAGGTAAACATCCATGTGCTGGTTACAGCACTATGTAAGAATGTAAACATGAGATAACAACCTGTGTAAGAATTATACAATAATGATGCAGCTCTGTAAGTCACACAAGACTACAAATCACAGCAAAAGGAATGGACTGGGGGTTATAGCTTAATGGCAGTGTCTGGCTGGTAAGTGCAAGGTCCTGAGTTATATTCCCAGTGCAAAAAGAAAAGAAAAGCAAGAAGGTAAGTAAGGGCAAGCTTAGGAAAGTGATGGAAACTATGAATGCTCAACAGAATTTTCAGATTTGGGCCAGTGAGACAGCTCAGCAGACTAAGTGCCTGCTTAGGCAAGTGCGGGAACTGGGCTTTGATCCCTGGCACCACATGCTATGCCGGCCCCGTCCCCATCCCTGGGGTGCACTGAGTTGGCTAATGAGACTGGGCATAGTGGCACACGCCAGTAATCCCAGCACTGGGAAGGCTGAAAACAGGAGGATCTACAAATCCAAGCTACATAGTGAAACCCTTTACTAAATACACACACAAAAAAGAATTTTTCAGATAAAACAGATTCACAGGACATTAAAAATTCTATTTAAACTATATTCAGTAGAATCAACCAATGTTAAGATAGAATGTCATGTTTAGAAGACAAGGTTGGGAGTGGCCATCAAATAAATAACTTCTCAAAAATAGTAGCATATCATGAAAAACCAATCCAATAGCTGACAGCAAAGAAGAATAACTAAAACTAGCAGTTACTTTTATCTTTCTATTCCCCTTTTAGGTATCAATCTGAAAGAGTTAGACGCATCACAACACAGTTATATATGAACACCTACATTTATAGTTGCACAGTTTATAATACTAAATCTTGGCAGTAGCCCAGATACCCATTAATGGATGAATAGAGAAAGAAAATGTGGTACTTCTCTCCAATGGAGTACTACTCTTCCATAAAGGATAAACCTGAGGCATTTCTAGGTAAATAGACCACCCAGAGACCATAATTTTAAGGTACACAAGTTTAAATATTGCATTTTCTCTTATTAGAGAAATCCTAAGGGTAAATAAGGAGCAAAGTGGAGGATAGATTTTAGGAAGTAGGAAGATGATGTTCAAATGGGAAGGGCAACAAGGGAAGGGAGAAGGGAAAGACACAGAAGGAAAAAAATGGATTAAAAAAAGAACAGAAAAAGAAAATGGGGAGGGGGAGAAGAGTTGAAGGGAAGGGAGGGGAATGGGAGAAAAAGAATTAAGATATATTATGTAGAGGTATAAATCTCCTATGACTAATGGGAGTACTTGTATGTAATGTGTACTAATAAAAACAAATTAAAGAAAAGAAGGAGAGATGCTGTGTATCATTTCAGCTCTGACCCAAGGGGCTCTGAGTCTCCAGCTAGGCTAGTCTCAGCAGACTGTGCAAGTCCACAGAGCACCAGAAAGCTATAATTCATCCCCTACCAAGATACTTTCAATCCTAAGCCTAGTAAAGTAGCCTAGGGCAATTTATGGAACAAATATCTGCAGTCAAATTTTCTTATTAGCATGCTAATAACTGACTGGCCTATTTTTTTCCATGCCTGGCTGATGGGCCTATTTTTATTTTTATTTGTTTTTTTGACGGGCCTATTTTTTTTTTTTTTCCCAGAACCGGGGATTGAACTCAGACCCTTGCGCTTGCCAGGGAAGCGCTTATTCCACTGAGCCATCTCCCTTGCCCCTGATGGACCTATTTTTAAAAATAAATTTTCAGAGGAAAATGACAGTTTGCCCTATTCAGGTGATTGATTCATATACCTGTATTTTGATCACATTCTCTTCTTGATCACGCAAGAATGATTTCCGAGCTTCAAACTCTTCCCTAAGCATGGGTCCTGAACTGGTGGCTTGAAAGCAAAGCAGATCATCTTCGGAAGCAGACCATATCTTCTCCCGGATGTACCGTACAGTGACCTCCTCAATGATGTCCTGCAAGAGACTCCAGACAGGTCACACTTCACACATCAGGTGAAAGGAACAAGCATACATTATAGCTTCTAGAAGTTGCATCTTCTAGAAAACAATATGGACAACTCTGTGTGCGTGTGTGTGTGCATGCGTGCAGCGGTGTGTGCGTGTCTTAGAGACATCAGATCAGAGTGGAGGGCTGCATTCATTAGTTTTATAGTGATACGACTGAACTTCCCTGAGTCTGGGGCTGCATGGCACGAGAACGGGGCCAAACGACCCCCGGGTCTGGAGACAGTGGTGCTGTACAGTTGAGGCTGTCAAGAGCCAGGCACAAGGCCTGAGCTTCGCAGAATACAAAAGGGATGAAAGTGACAGCTGTGAGAATATGCACTGCCTCCTCACTCCCCGGGGCTGCCAAGACAAAACCCACAGTGTCCGCTGAGGCTCACCCTGCCCTGCCCTCTCCCAGGCTGGAGCAGGAGCAGTTCCGCAATGAGCTGGGGAAACACACAATGGTGCTTGGGGCAAAAAAAAAGATATTAGGGGCACAAGAAAGGGGTTGGGTGAGGAAAGAGCCATCAAGGGATGAGAGAAAAGGAAAAAGAGGGATCATGAGACATTTTCGTGGTGAAAGGAACTGTGTTCACTTTTACATTTGCTGCAGGACGTGAGTAAAGACCGGGTTCATTTCTACTCTGAAAGATCAATGCAACTGGAAACAATAGTTGGCTAATGTGAGCCCTTTTGTTTTTTGGCAGAACTGGGGATTGAACTCAGGCCCTTGCGCTTGCCAGGGAAGCCCTTATTCCACTGAGCCATCTCCCCAGCTCTTATTGTGAGCCCTTAGTAGTGAAATTATTTTAAAATGCCTAGAACTTTAAGAGAAGATGTGTTCACCTTCACTGAATAAAATCAACCACTCCAAGTTGTTTAGAAGAAATACTTCAAAACAAAAACAAAGTGAGGCCCTCCCTTACTTAACAACCCTCACACAGGGATGTTCAATGTGACAGAAAGTTGTATCTAGGCCATCTTTAGATGTCAAATGAGCAAATTTTCATATCAAATTTCAACCCCCAGGATTGCTTCTTTAGAGTTTAGTAACCTTTCCTACTGCAGCATGTAATTTGTAGTATTGTACATAATTTCTTTTGTTTAAAAAAATAGCACTGGTAATCCAATGTTGGTCTAAAAATTTAACAGTTTGAACATGTGTGATTAGTTAATAAGCTATATTCTTCACTCTGTCCTTATCATTTATAATTTTTTGTCACTAAGCACTGTCTAACTCAGCCCTTAACTTTTCTCTGACTTTTAGTACACAATGCTGCTCCTTGAGGCACTGTGCCTCTGATCAGTGCTTTTCAATGATTCTATTAAGATATGTATTTGTTATGCCAGCCCCTCCCCCAGGGCATACTGAGCCAGTGACAGAGTCCGGACGTGGTGGTGCATGCCTGTGATTCCAGTGCTGGGGAGGCTGAAAACAGGAGGATCACTACGCATCCTGCAACTAAGCTGCATGGTGAGACCTTGCAGCAAACACATAACAATGAAGAAAAAAAAAAGATGTGTTTGTATGCTCTATTTTTTCTTCTCCAAGATAAAACCACAATTGTTATCAGTATTTTCTCTTAAACATTATATATTACTTTTTTTTTTGTATTTTAGGGAAGGGTCTACAGGGTGTTCAGGGTCTCACTACTAGATCGGACTTGTAGTGATCTGCCTGTTTACAGCCTCCCAAGGGCTGGGATTACAGGTGCGTGCCACCACACCCAGGCTCAAACATTATATATTAAACAACAGCATTTTTTCTTCAACATTAGCCTTGGATCCATGAGCTATTTTAACATTTTCGGGTTCCAACTTTTGGTTTTAAGTTCAAAGTGATCTTAGTAAACAGTCCCTTGAGAGTATTTTCCCCTGGGAAACACCAGTCACTTTCTATTGGACTTATGTGATGGTGCATTGAAAATTAAGTATCATACAAGCAAAGATGCCTTCTTGTGTCTGTGGCTGCAGGAGACTTCATTTATAGGTTCCCATTCTTGGTGCATTTGTGGGCACAGCAGGTAAGAAGGGCTACTGTGGGCCGTAACTTGTACAGACATTTTGTTAAAAGAGGTGAATCCAATTTTACATCCTTCTGCTTTGAATCCTGCTGCTTCACAGTCCCCAAAGAACTCCCCATAAAACCAAAAATCTGCCAAGAAGGCCACTTGAAATATTCTCCTTAACATCTGCTCACAGGAAGTCTTCTTTCATTTTGGGAGATTTCTGTGGAGCATCTAGCTCCTTATTTTCATGTTTTAAGAAAATCAATCCCTACTTTTTCTTTGATCTTTGCTCTTATCCTGATCTTTATAAATTTTCAGCCCTGAGTTCTACATATAAATACTTTTAGATTTTGAGAAGGAATGCAGAATGAGACGGGTGAAGCAGATGGGGAGAACCCAGCAGGTGTCTTGAGACTTAGGCCAGTATTACATACGAGCAAATGCATTTTAACATGTGATTCCGACAGATGCTTCAAATTGGGTTTCTTCTTCCTAGAGATTCTCCCACCTCAGCCTCCCAGTGCTGGGATTATAGGGGTGTGCCACCATATCTGGCTTGTGACATATAATTTAATTAAAGCACTGCTTTCTTTCCTCCTAATAGAACCTCATTTAAGTATTATTTATAGAGAATTCTGATTAACAGAGATGAAAAGAAATGGATAGGGACTGGGGAGATAGCTCAGTGGAATAAGTGCTTTCTTGGCAAGCACAAGGGCCTGAGTTCAATCCCCGGTTCTGCAAAAAAAAAAAAAAAAAAAAAGAAAAGAAATAAATGGATAAACTGCTTTGGATAAGTAAAATTTGGCAGATCAAAATTTTCAAATACAGATAAATTCATTAAAAGGGGCTTTAGAGATTAAACAAAAAGTCTTACACACTGTACCATATTTAACTTTGGGTTGGCAATATATGGACATGACTAACGTTTAGCTCAATTAATCAAAAGTCATGTATAAAATGGGCACACCATAGTGTCTCCATTTACACCTTCCATAGCATGTCTCCCACTCGCCAAATTTGTACACAAGACTGAAAAAATGCTAAGGTGACTACTACAGCTTGTGCCTAGATGTCCCCCCACAGCCTTGTGTGGTCATAGGTGGGGCTTTTTCAGATAGGCAGCTTGGAGCTATCATGTGAGGCTGGGATTAAGGCGTGTGATTACCAAATTAGTCCACTGAGTTGTTTGGCACTCACCTTAAGACACATTGCCTGGGTAGAAAATAAAAGGTGCAGAAAGAAGCTGCTATTGGCACTAGTAGTTTCTGCCTTCTGCCTTCTTCCTGCCACAAACTGTTTCTCCTTTGTGATACTCCTCTGCCATGCCACCCTGTCTTGGAACCAGTCAACCATGGACTGAACCTTCTACAAACTGCGAAAGAAAATACACTTTTTCTCCTTCAACTCTGGGTGTCAAGTGTTTTGTCTCAGTAATGAGAGAAAAGAGAGAAAAGTAACTAAGACAGACTTTGCTACTGAGAGTGACTATACCTAACCATTTGGTGCAGGAGCCTTTGGAGCTGGCTTATGGGAAGGGAAAGAATTAGGAAAATTCTGGAGATGCCAGCTGAAAAAGTACAGCTGGTATGCTAGAAATAATACTCGATGGGAGATTCTGGTTAGAGCTCAGAAGACCAGAATGCTGACAGAAATGACCCAGAGGCTCAGCAGGTTTCTGCTGGAAAAAGGACTGTATTGGCTGATGGACTCCAGATGATGTTGTCTGCATTTTGCTTGTGTCCAGAGACTCTGTCTGAAACTGATATTCAGGGCAGCACACTAATTAACCTGGGAGAGGAAACTTTAAGATAGTTCAATGTTTAAGCAGTGGCATGGATACTGATGGGGCTTTTAGACAGATTCATGTTGAGAATCAAGAGCAAAGAAACCAGTCTGTTTTGCTCCCATTCCTTTTTTTTTTTTTTTTTTTTTTTGGTGAAACCAGAGATTGAACTTAGGCCCCTGTGCTTGCCAGGGAAGTGCTTATTCTATTGAGCTATCTCCCCAGCCCTACTCCCATTTCCTACTACCGTGTTTGTAACTTTTGACATGGAAATGTTCATCTTGTGTAACTGAATGTTGGAAGTCTTTAAATTTCTTTTCATTTGTACAAAGGCTTGAATCTAAGAGTATGCCTTAAGTCTCAGAGGAGATATGAGACGTGGAATTGTCAGCAATGCTAAAAACATTAAAACTTTGGCAGCTCATGGAGATGGACTAAATTCATGCACCTACAATATATGAATGGCAATGGAATACCCATGTCTGACAAAAGCAAACAAAAAAGGGGGATACAAATGAGTTCCATTTTGTAGTGGAAAAAAATATATCTATATATACAAAATAACATAGATATACAGCTATTTTCTCTTAGTTCAATGAGAAGTTTTGAACTAATAGTCTTTAGAGAAGATATCATGTCTGCATCTTGTACTATGAATAACTACTACAAAGACAACAATATGAAATGTATTAATTATTGTAACTGTCCTACTAACCTGTTCTGAAATTGTCTAATTACTACTTGTTTCTCAATAAAATTAATATAAAAATTAAAAAAATGGCTATTGCATCAAGGGGTACATATAAGTCTTTTGGGGTCCAGGGGCAGAATGTTATGGCTTGTGTCTAGATGGCCCTCCACATCCTTATACAGTCACAGTGGGGGTTTTTCAGAGGTGGCTGTATCTAGAATGTGTGATGCTGGGTGTTATGGCTTGTGTTTAAATGTCCCCCCAAAGCCTCATTCTGCCATAAGTGTGGCTTTTTCAGAAGTGGTTGAATCTATGGGGTGGGGATATAGCTCAGAGGCATAAAGCAACTGCCCGGCAAGTGCAAGGTCCTGAGTTTGACCCCCCCCCACCACATACACAAGAAGTGGTTGGATCTAGAGTATGTGACAGATTGCTGGTACAGTGCTAGGATTAACAGTGCATGATTACTAATCAGTAAGCACCCACCCTAATGCACACAGCCTATATAGAATAAAAAAGGGCAGAAAGACACTGGGAACGTCCCTTGCTTGCTTTTCTGCCTTCTGTCCACCATGAACTGTTTCTTCTCTGTGATGTCCCTCTGCCATGTCACCCTGCCTTGAAGCCAGATTGAAACCTCCATAAACTGTGAGTCAAATAAATCTTTTCTTCCTTGACTTTGGGATTCAGGTATTTTGTCTCAGCAACAAGAAAAGTAACTAAGACAATGACCATCTTGGAAAAAGCAAACGTTCAAAGTTTACCATTCCTAGTCTTTGCTAAACCCTTACTTATGTTCCTTGAAGAATCCTGGAAGTGGTTGAGATCAAGATCAGCAGAGTTCTTTTGTAGTATTTTGTTGAAAGAAAATAACATTTTGGTTTTAAGTTGAACGTGGGGTAGGATAAGATATTTTCCATGCTGACAACTAAGAGATTATTACAAATCAAACTGAATTGTGCCAAGGAAAACCTTATTAGGGTAATCTACCATCCCAAATAAAATGGAAAAACTTTCTTCCTACTCATCTGCTTGCTTTTGTTAATGGAAAACACTACAAAAGTCATAATACAGTCACACCCAGTTGCAGCTGATAAAGACTTTATTCCATGTCTAGTCTTCAAATAAATCAATTAGTTTCTTCCATCACTTCATGGCAGAAAAACAGAAAAACAACACACTCATCTTCACACAGCACACTTTGCAATCAACACCTACCTCAATTTCTTTTCCCATGAGCCATGACTCCTTAAGTACACATGATTCAGGTGTGACCCAGGAACT